GCTTGATTTACAGCCTAGAAAAACATTTTCTTTAAAGATAAAGTAATGCCCTTGAGGAGCCAGAAGATCTCTTAGCATTTATACAGTGATGCTTTTGTACTGACAGCATCCCTAGACATGAAAATGAATGGCTATGGTTCCGTTCCCTTAAAACTTTATTTATAAAAATATATGTTATTGAGTACTGGTGTCACGATGTAAAATAGGGACCTCAAGGTCAGTTTGATCCACAAGGTAGTAGGAGCTTCAAACTCAACCAGCCGCTCCTTGGGCACCCTATACAGGGTCGCTATGAGTTGGAACAGACTTGACAGCACTTAAGAACAACAACAACAATCTAGATGTGGTGCTATTAGATAAGCACCAGATTTCTAACCACTAGGTTGGCACTTCAAATCCATCAGTCACTCTTTGGAAAACCCTATACAGGGATGCTATGAGTCGAAGTCAACTCAGCGGCGCTTAACAGCAACAATCTATTGATAATTTATTTTTGACTCCCTTAAAAATAGTTATCTTTGTATTTCATTATATGAAAACAAAGCAAAACCATCGCCTTTGAGTCCACTCTGACTCATCATAACCCCATGCATTGGGAAGGAGAACTGCATTCCGTAGGGTTTTCATGGGTGTGACCTGTCAGAAGCAGATCGGCAAGCCTTTCTTCTGAGTGCCTCTAGATTGGTTCAAACTACCACCCTTATGGTTAGTTGGTGAGCAAGGGACTCCTATAGAATATATTACTACTGTAGTATTTAATAAATAACTAAATATTCAATTGAAGATAGTTTTAAATATCAAACTTAAAAAAATAGGGGGGATCCTTGCTATAAAATAGGGGGATCTCCTGCTATTGTCTAATTTTTTCATGACTCTCTTGATCACCTGAATCTTCTTACTTTGTCCTCTTTCTTCGATATCATTTTCTTCCATGATTTTTTTTTAGCTGTTTACATTGATTAAAATGTGATTCTTTGTGTTTTTATATACAGATATAACTGAACATGTTCTTTTTAGAGGGCCAAATCCATCTCAAATATTCAATAAAACCCTTCTCCTGTTTGGCCATAATTCAAAAGTTTTATTTATTTTTCTTACCCAGTGCATTTAGTAATTATAGCTCTAAAATGTTCATTCTTCTTGTTGGTAAGTGCCGTTGAAGCGACTGGTGAGCTTGAACCACCGACCTTGTAGCTGAAATGGCTTGGCAGTCTGGCGCATTAACCATCAGCACCACATTTCTTCACTATGGCTCCGTCAGGATTTATTGTAGTCCCAGGCACCCCTTTGTTGTTGAATAATCATTTCAGTGAGTTGCTGAACAAGCAGGAGGATGGCAGTACTCATGCCAGGACAAGAATTGTAATTAGGGAGTGCTTGAGAAAGTACCCACCTACCTATTATCTGTAGGTTGCAAAATGTCTCCGTATATTTTTATCATTTGTTCTGATTGTGGTATCAGTGGGCCAGTAGAGGTTTAGATAGAAAATGGCTTTGCTAGAAATTTCTCACTGGCTCTTCCACAGGGCTGAGAGCTGCCCTGTTAAAAATACAATGACACTGTAATTTGGCCTGGCAGGGAATCATGAAAGTGGAAGTATCAGTGCCATGCAGAAGAGAACAATAGGTAGCTTTAACTACATTGATTTTTCTGGTTCCTGGAAGACTTGAAGAAGAGCTAATCTCATCCATCCTCCTAAAACTCCATGACACGTATCACTGAGTTTAAACATGGCTCCTGGGAGCCCAGCCAGCACTCCTTACTCTTCAGACCCAGCCGTACATGTCATATTTCTTACTCATCAAGGTGACATTTCTGATCATGGCTTTGCAAAGAAAGTGTTTGGAATGTGACTTGTGTTTCTTTTAAAGTTTTCCTAATCTAAGCACCCTCGCTTCATTTCTGCTCTCATTTTAAATGAAGATTTTTTTTTTTTTTTTTAAATAAGAAATGCTATTTGGAATCTGGATCAACTGTGAATATGATTGGATTCTATTTCCATCCCTAAATTTCTCAAAATAGTTCTGTAAAGCTGTGCTCTCCAGCGTGGGTTAGATGGTCTTTGGGTGATGAAGGAGATGATGATGACACATTGAGGACCACAAGGAAAATGTTAGAGCTTGTTCGTGTTTACTTTCTGCATTCATTTCATATGTGTGTTTTATATCAAACTCAGTGTATTAATATGAAAGCAAATGTTGCTTAGCACATGAATGGTCCATATAATTAGAGATCATTAAATTCTGGGAATTATTTGTCAAGTGTTTAAGGTAGTCACATATTCCAAAGAATACATGATTTAATGTGGCGCTGTGGGCTAATGCGTCAGACTGCAAAGTCGTTTGAACTGCAAGGTCGGTGGTTCAAACTCACCAGCTGCTCCTTGGAAACCCTATATAGGGTCGCTATGGATTGGAATCGACTCAACGACACTTCACAACAACAATCATAATATGCAAGACACATCTCCATGTAAATTAATATGTTTGGGAGGAAGAGCTAATTCTTGACATTTTGATCCTTTTGAAGCTTTTCAACTCCTATTTGAAATCTAGACAAAATGGAGAGGAGTCCAAGTTATCCCTCAAAGGCCACCAAATGAATATCTCAAGAAGACATTGCTGCAGCTCTGAGTATTTCCAGCCTGGCCATGAGAGTACATTTTTCAGTGTGTGCATGTATCTAGGCTGAAGAGTGGCAAGACTGAACTTTCACCTAAAACAACTCCTTTGAGCCTTTAAATGTTTGTAAGATGAGGGGGAAAGATTTACTCCTTTGTTGTATCTTATGTTGTTAGGTGACCTCAAGTCAGTTCCACCTTATAGTGACCCTGTGTCAACTGAATAAAACTCTGCCTGGTCCTTGGCCAGCTCAATCCTTGACATAATTGACCATGTAGTGAGTTGCTGAGTAAACATGAGGCGAGCAGTAGTCTCTTATTTCCTTTTATTCCTGGAAACCCTCTATTTTGCCAACCCTGATGTCCTTCTCCAAGGATTGGTCCCTATTAATAATCTGTCCAAAGTACATGAAATCAAGTCTCACCACCCTTGGCTGTACATACATTCTGTCTGTACATCTTCCAAGACAGATTTAGTCATTCTTCTGTTATATTGTATGGTACATTTAATATTTCTTTTCCAACACTAATTAAAAGGCATTGGTTCATCTTTGGACTTCTGTGTTCATTGGCCAGCATTCACATGCATATGAAGGGTCTTTGAAAAATCAATGAAAATGTGTATTTTATATATATATATATGTACATAAACTATGCATCACTTCAAAAATTTTTTTTGCACCAAAATAATGTAGTGCTAACTTGTTATTACATGTCTGAACAGGATCTAGTTTGAGGCACTAAGGAGGATAAGATGTCAATTTGAAAAGAACAGCATGAATTCTGCTAAAATTGAAGCAAGAACAAATATCAAATTCATGGTGAAGCTTAGGTGGAATGATGATGAAATTTGATTCTTTATGAAAAGTTTATGGGCATAATTCCCCAATGAAATCAGCAGTTAGGTAACTCATTGTAAGAAGGGATGCAACAGTGTTGAAGATGAAGCTTGAAGTGACCAGTGACAGGCCTTACACATCAATTTATGAAGAAATAGCCTCATTTATGCCCTAGTTGAAGAGGACTGGCAATTAGCCACAGAGGCAATACCCAACACCATAAACATCTCAATTGGTTTAGCTTGCATAATTTTGTCTAAAAAATTAAAGTGGAGCAAACTTTCCACTCAGCAGGATCCAAAACGAGTGCTCATTTACACATAAAAGCAGAGTTTTCAATGGACATTTTAAACAAGTGGGGTTGGAGAGCCTGAAGCATTTCTTTGGAGCACCAGGTCACCAGGTTTGTCTCCTGCAGTTCCACTGGGAGGCTCTTAACACCAACCTTTAGATTGTTGTTACGTGCCTTCGAATGCATTCCAACCCACAGTGACCCT